TATATATATATATATATATATACACACACACACACACACTCACAGTTTTTATCTAAGTGTACAACCAGTTCTTTATTGTATATATATTTAGAGTATTTTTCTCTGTGATTGTTTCTATTCATAGTGAAGCTTCGATGACCGGGGCTCCTTGTACTGCCTTGTATTTGTTTGGTCACATCATTAGACATGTGTGTGATCTTTTTTGATTTGCTGTGTTTCAGTTCAGACAGCAGTGCTTTATTTGTGTCTCATTTTAGCTACCTGTGCTTATCATTGTGGAGCCCAGGTGAATCAAAGGGCAAAATATGTTTCAGTGGGTGAAAATAGGTCTACAAGTTGTGTCTGAGTGAATCGTGCTTAGTGTTCTGACAAAGGGTGGCCATTTTAATAAATGTGTTCAGGGAACTGAGCATTTAGTTCAAAGAACGGGCAACTGAGAAAAACTGTAAAACAGATTGTAATCATTTTCTCAATTCTTTGTTGATAAGGTCAGCAATGTTGTGGCAAACATCTCCCCATCAACTTCTTACAATCCTCTTTTTGACCCATTTCTTTATTCATGGTCTTCCTTTGAACCAGTGTCATTCCCAGATCTCTCTGCTACAGTGGATAAAATGAAGCCTTCCTCACACTCCGGCCATATTTTTCCTTCTGCACTGTTTAAAAAGGTTTTTAATACCATTTGGTCCTATTACTGATCTTTAATCAACACACAGTGTTTTTTATTTTTTTTACAACTTTTCAGCTGCTGATGGCCTCAGAAACCGAAGCCCAGGTGAAAAAATATTATACTAAGTATACTAAATCTAAGTATACTTTAGTATAATTGAAGCCGCACTAATCATCAATATACTTAAAGAGTGCTATTTTTGGAACAAGTAATTTAATACTAAATATACTTTAGTTGTATTTAAGTTGTACAAAAGTACAATTTTAAGTGTATTAAGTATACTTTTAAATACTAAAATGGAACAACTTCAAATATACTTAGTACACTTTAAGTGTATAGACAAAGATATAGACTTAAAATGTACTAAGTATTTTTGAAGTTGCTCCATTTCAGTATTTAAAAGTATACTTAATACACTTAAAATTGTACTTTTGTACAACTTAAATACAACTAAAATATATTTAGTATTAAATTACTTGTTCCAAAAATAGCACTCTTTAAGTATACTGATGATTACTGCGGCTTCAATTATACTAAAGTATACTTAGATTTAGTATACTTAGTATAATATTTTTTCACCTGGGAGGATAAAGAAATGAAAATATAAACATATGTTGTTATTATCATACTTTTCTAAGTAATTACCACTTCAGAAAATAACTGTTAAAGAAAAAATTCATTGAACAAATGTCAAACAGGACTGTACACTACATGTTTTATATGTATTTTATGTTGTGTATACTCATTTCATCCATGTTTTCAGGGATTAGGTCGAATGCACCATTAAATAGATTAATATATTTTGTGGCAGCTTTTAGACTTATAATATTAATTTATCATACAAATATGATCACCCACTACACTAACAATATACTATAGATGCATTAACACTGCAGGCAAATGCGACCAAAATCAGATTATTTTTTCCTGACAGTTTGAATGTGGCAAATCAGATTTAAAAAAAAAAAAAATCAAATCCAACCCAGGTCTTTTCAGCATGTGGTCATAAATCAGATCTATATTTAATGATTTTCAAAGCGACCTCAGTCTAAATGATCATGTTGCCTTTTACCTGACATTTTACTGTGCATCAATGAGGTGGGGGTGAGCGTGTCCAAATGAAGTGTCCAGAGGAAGGACAGTGGGTATATTAGTTTGGACATGTCCAGAGGAGGGTGAGTGGGGTAGAAGGATGTTTGACATAATAGGAAAAAACATTTATTGTAAGTTTTACAGACAAAGTTGAATCCATACTACTGGAAGATAATGACACTGAAAAACTACACAAGAAGTTAGTAAATCAACATATCTTTACTGTTTTGTAAATATTCACTTTAAATAAATGTCATTAGTATGGCCTCAAATAACATTTTTAACTTTCTAGCGATGGCTTATTAAAGAAAATTTTACAAAAGAAAAAAATATTAAAGGTTTTGTTGAATTATTTCTCCTCTCCAGCATTTACTTCTGACCAAAACCTAAACCCTGATCAACACATCTCATTAATCAGATCAGTGTGCCAACATCACTGTTTATGAATTTAACTTTTCATCCAGTCAGTTTCATCAATAAAACCTTCATCAAAGAGTCACACAGAAAATACCCAGCCAAAAACAAAGAACAATCCAAAAGCCTGTTAGCTAAAATCTTTGTGTTTACTGGTGATATGATGGTTGAATTAGCTCCTCCATTATCAGAGCAAGGACATGGCACAACTCTTTAGCCTGAAAGAGAAATGAACACAGTAAATTAGATACATTAGGACACATCATGTGAACACTTGACCAAACGTTCATGTACTGTACATTCATTATTAATACTAAACCTAATGGTCCAATATTTTGCTGGAAAATCCAAAGTCTAAGTGGTCAGCAGTACAATAAATTAAAACAGTTATATTAAAGAACACAAAGCTGAAGTACCGCACATGCTTTCACTGGGAAGACATCAGTGTGTCAAAAGACAAGTTCCAAATAGAAATTAAAAGCAGCTATCTTAAATTTGTCAGTCAGTTTTTACCTGTTGCAGATGAAACGTGACTTTTTGGGGTTTGGCAGGATTGCCATAGTTGATGTCCACTGCTGGAAGTTTGCCTTGTTTCTTTGGACGGATGGTGCGCATGGACTGAACTTCTTCCAGACGAATCTGAAACACTCGGTCCTGCAGCACAAAGAGACAAAAAAGACTAAAATCTGAGGCTCTGGTTCTCTGAAAGCACTTCGTGTCTCACTTCTTTTCAAACTTTCATATCTGTGACCAAAACACTTAAAACAAAAGATCCTAACAAACCTGAAGAGTAAAAGGAGAGGGACAAGTAATTTAAACACGTTAATGAAACACCTTGCTGCTTTTAAAAGCTTGGGGCTTTTTTATAAATTAAAAAAGGATTTCAGATGAAAAGTGAAAAATCTTCAATAGCTGAATGAAAGTCCAGTTGTCCTGTATTTGAAAGCACCAGCTCTCAGGACAGTAAATATTTCACACTAACTCTGCAACTTAGATTTGTCCTGGTAGTAATAACTCACAGATAGGGTATTCCTCTAAATGCAATAAACCTAATTAATACAAGGCACCCACCCCCCACCAGGAGAGAAGGGACTGTCATGTCCACCTGCTCTTTGTGGATTTCACTTCAGTCTTTAACACCATCCTCCCAAAAACCCTGGTCCATAAACTGTTCTCACTCAGACTGAGATCCTCCCTCTGGGTGCTGGACTTCCTGATGGACAAGAAGTGATCTGTGACAAACCACAATGCTTCATTGTCCCCCATCGCCATCATCACTTGCTCCCCCAGGAGTGTGTGCTGAGCATCCTCCTCCTCCTGTTCACTCTGCTCATGACTCAGTCAACACCCAGGTTGTCGTAAAGTGGTTTGCAGAGAACACAGCTGTGGTTGGATTTATCACAAGCAGTGATAAATCCGTTACTGGGAGGATGTGGAACATCTGGAGAATTTGTGCAGGGATAATATTTGCATTAACACGATGATGATGATGATAATAATAATAATAATAATAATAATAATAATAATAATAATAATAATAATAATAATGCATTTTATTTATAAAGCGCCTTTCAGGACACCCAATACAATAGAAAAAGAAAAATGAAGGAACAAACAAAACAGAACTGTAGATGATGCGGGATTTAACTGGGAGCCAGTGGAGCTGTTGTAGGACTGGAGTGATGTGGGCAGAGGATGAGGTTTGAGTGATTATACGGGCGGCTGAGTTCTGAACCATCTGTAATTTGTGAAGGGATTTATTGGGGAGGCCAAACAGTAGGGAGTTGCAGTAGTCGATCCTGGATGTTACTAGGCTGTGTACAAGGATGGCAGTGGAGCAGGGAGTGAGTGAAGGACAGAGACGGTTAATGTTGCAGAGATGAAAGTATGCAGATCGAGTCACGTTGTTAATGTGGGATGTGAAAGAGAGTGTGGTGTCAAGGATGACACCTAGGTTCTTGACCTGAGGCGAGGGGGAGAGAACAGAGTTGTTAAAAGTGAAGAGAAGATGCTGGGATATGGAAATGGAGTTTTTTGTCCCAACAAGGATGAGTTCAGTTTTGTTATGGTTTAGTTGGAGGAAATTGTTAGAGAACCAGTTGTTGAGCTCACTGAGGCAGTCGGTAAGAGTGGAGGATGGTAAGGTGGAGTTCGGTTTTGTCGAAATGTAGAGTTGAGTGTCGTCGGCATAAGAGTGGAAATGGATACCAAATTTACAGAAGATGTGGCCAAGCGGGAGCAGATAGATTATGAAAAGTAGAGGCCCGAGTACAGAACATCGGGGAACACTGGTGGAGATGGGTGAAGACTGGGAGCGGAAGGACTTGAGCTGTATGAACTGAGTGCGGTCGGAAAGATAGGATTTAAACCAGTCCAGTGGGGTGTCTGAGATGCCGATAGAGGTTAGTCAGTCGATGAGGATAGGATGAGACTGACATGAATGGAGAGCCCATCTCCTCTGCACTTCGAAGGGTCAGCAGTGGTCTTCAGCTGGAGGGTCTTGGCGATTCACAAGAGCAACGACCTCACCTTGAATTAGAACGTCTCCAGACTGATCTGGAAGACTCACCAGTTCCTTTACTTTCTCAGATGGTGGAGGAGTCCAGTCCTGACCTGCTTCTACATGTTTGTGGGGTAGAGAACATCCTGTTCTCCTGTATCATTGTGTGGCACAGCAGCAGAGAAGAAGTCTGCACCGAGTGGTGTAGGCTGCACCATCGTAGATATTTACACCTTTAGATGCAAGAAAAGTACCACCTGCTTTATGTGAGTGAGACTCCACCCACAACTTTCATCGTCCTCCCCTCAGGCATAATGTTGAGGAGCATCAGAAGTAGGATGGTAAGACTGAGGAACAGCTTTTACCCTGAAGACTGTTGAACTCCAGTGGGGCTCTGCAGCTAAGTTTATTACCTCCGCCAAGGGCGAGGTAATGTTTTCGGTCGCGTATGTCTGTCTGTCAGTTTGTCTGTTGTTCTGTTGTTCCATCTGTGGACAACATTACTCAAAACTTGTGGACGGATTGTCATGACATTTTTACCACGTGGATACTGCGCCAAGGAACACACCATTAAATTTTGGTGATGTTTCGGATCACGATGCAGATACAGGATTTTTTTCTTTTAACACTCTGACATCGGCAAAGCTGTGATGCTTTCACAGGGCATGGGTTTCAAAGTGTCCAGCAGGTGGCACTGTAGTATTGGTGGGCCCCTTTGTAACTCTATTACAGAATGGGGGAAATTGGTCTTGGCGGAGGTTTGCACTCTCCGAGTGCTTCTAGTTTTAATGATTTTATTATTTATGATTGTACTTTATTTTTTAAAAATGTGTTGTTCATAGAAAAAAATCATGTCATGTCACGTGAAGTGAATGACAAAATTTCATTGAAATATGAGCAAATTGCATTGCACTTCAGTTTTAACTAGAAAAATGAAAGTTTTCAGGAAATGCAACAAAGTAATGACAGTCAATACAAAGTTAAAAAAGAACACAAAAACATTAAAAAACTAACCACGTGAAAGCTTTAAAGCACCGTTTTTCTCTGAGTGGTGATGCTAAGAGGAACATTTTAGCAATAAAGATTATGAGAAAAGAGTAGGCTACCTGTGTTTTTGGATGAAGGAAAAGAACCCCCTCTTTGTTGATGCTGACCACACAAGGGGAGGGACAACCACGCTGGCTCACCTTCTGGGCTGTGAAGGTGTGGGAGCCAAACAGGGGCAGGTTGCTCAGAAAGTCTGAGGGATGTAAGATTCAGATAAATACCATTAGCATGAGAGGAGAGGAGAGGAGAGGAGAGGAGAGGAGAGGAGAGAAGACCTTTGACCTTTAACAAAACATTTATTGATGGTTTGTCAACAAATCAAAAAGAAAAAATAAGTAGGTCCTCTGGATGGGTTCTTCTTTAGTGAAACGTTTCATCTCTCGTCCAAGAGACTTCTTCAGTCTGATGAGTTTCAGGTGAACTCAGCCTAAAAAGCACTGCCTCCACATGGTGGACAAACAGGTTAGTCACATGCAAAAGAGGACCATCGCTTAACAATAGGCTTGATTAGCTCTATTGTTCATAGAGGGTCATGTGCACCATCATCTGACTTATTGGTTTGGATGCTGTGGTTCTTAGCTTTTGTGTTATGTGTATGAAGTGAATGCAGGCGGGGCTCAAAGTCCCCTTGTTTTTGTTTTTTCCCTCTTTGTGTTGGTATCATTGGGGCCCCGATTTACATCTTTTGCTCACAGGGGGCGGAGTCATACTTGCAATAACAGAAGGAAGAGGACAACTGGACACGAAGGCCTCCACCTCTGTTTAATGGTTGATGGTTTTTTTTTTCACAAAGATGGCTTCCATTAAACAGAGGTGGAGGCCTGCGTGTCCAGTTGTCCTCCTCCTACAATGCCGTTATTGCAAGTATGACTCCGCCCCCTGTGAGCACAAGGTGTGAATCAGGGCCCCAATGATCCCAACACAAAGAGGGGAAAGACAAAAACAAGGGGACGTCGAGCCCCACCTGCATTCACTTCATACACATAACACAACACCTAAGAACCACAGCATCCAAACCAATAAGTCAGGTGATGGGGCACATGACCCTCTATGAACAATAGAGCTAATCAAGCCTCTTGTTAAACGATGGCCCTCTTTTGCATGTGACTAACCTGTTTGTCCACCATGTGGAGGCAGTGCTTTTAAGGCTGAGTTCACCTGAAACTCATCAGACTGAAGAAGTATCTTGGAGGAGAGAYGAAACGTTTCACTAAAGAAGAACCATCCAGAGGACCGCATTTTTTCTTTTTGATTTTTTTCTGCCTGGATTACTGAGATGCATCAGGATGTTTGTCAATACAGTTTACAAAAAGTAGTATTTCACAGCTTCACATTTTCCCTTTAAAAAAATCATAGCTAGAGAGTTTTGAGACACCAATCCCTCAGACAAACACAAAGTGATCAACATCAGAGATCAATCTGTAAAAAAAAATGCAATCGTAAGGCTCTCGATGCACATGACACATTTCAAGAGCAATTTTGACAAGTGTCTGACCTCAAAGTGCACAAGCGTCCAACCTGAAGCGTTGGATGCGTTTTTGACACCTAAATCGCGTTCGGTGTGAACGCAGCTTAAGAAGATCCTGTTTCATTCCCTGTGTTGATGTGATTGTTAACAGCAGCTGGTTTGCTAATAAAATCACCACTCCTGCATTAAGACTGGTGCCATGATTTGTACCAATGCAAAACACTACATGACATTGTAATGTCATTTTTATTGATTTTATTGTTTTCACTTGTTTAATAAATACACTGGTGTGATACAACTTAGTATATGTTTCTTGGTTATTGAGATAAGTCTGTTTTGGTGTTGTAGCCCACCCTAGAGAAAAAAAACAGCTGCCATTGAAGACCACTCAACAGGTCCACACACTCACCCTCTCACACAAACTCCCAGCATGCAGTGCAGGGAGGAGAGGAGAAGTGGACAGGGAAAAAGAGACTCTGCTCACCAATGAAGCGTATTTTGACATCTGGAGGAGTGAGAGACTGCATGGCAGCTATCTGATTCTGACAGAAGGACTGGATCTCTTCAAGTTTACTGCCCAGTCTGTCCTGTGAGGGCAGGTACTCTTTTAGCTCTGACCTTTAAAGGAAACAGAGTGACAGTACATACATTAATACACAGCAGGTACGTAACATTATGAAAAGGTTTCAGACGAAGTAAATAAAAAATGTGTTGCATGAACAGAGAGTAAGACAAGGATGAGGATCTGATGAAAAACAACTAGAAACCAGAGCGGTGTCTACTGAGAGGTAAAAGTTTTTAGATTAAACGTGCAACTGGAGTAGTTAAAAGAAAACTAAAAACTTAACATTGCTTTAAAGAATTCATTGAGTGAGCTAGTAGTGGTACCAAACAAGGTAAAAAAATAAATTTTCTTTAAAAATAAACATCCCAGATTTTGATTTATAGTTCCTTTGCTGTCTAACATTTCACTGAACTGAATGTTTAGCATTGCAACCACCACATAACCTTTAATGTGTTACCAACGACATGAAAGCTCCAAGTTCATATTCATCACAGGCATCAAATTCAAAATAAGTGAATATTTGCAAAAAACCAATAAAGTTTATCTGTTTGAACATTAACTATTTTGTCTTTGTAGTGCACATGTGTCAAACACAAGGCCCGCGGGCCGGGGGGTAATTATTATTATTATTTATTTTGTGGATTCTTAATCTGGGACCTGA